TATAGAGGAGGTGTAGTGTGTGTGTGTGGGGGGGGGGGGGGGTCACATGACTCCTCCAAAAAAAAACTCCTCCAATCCTGATAAAGAACTCATATCTGAACATTCTATGTCACTCTACGGAAGGTGCTCTGTCTCCCTATATGTCTGCCTTTCATGCCTTCAGTTTTTGACTGATCTCAACCAAACATGGCATGCAACCTTAGGGCTACCCAGGGAGTGACAAAAAAAGGTTATGCATATGGATCTCCCTCTCATGTCACTCTCTGGGTGATCTCTATATCTTCCCTGTAGATTTAACAGGTGCATCGGATAGTATATGATACATCAATATATAATTATATGCTTTTGTTATACTGAAGTATAACCCTAATAAAATAACTGATTAAAATATATACTCTTCAGCTTAGACTTGATAGTAAGTACCACACTATACAGATGTAGGTCTAAGTTACTTAGATTTAATTCAAATCACATCTCAGTAGTTATGATAATAAATTAAGTCAGTGCTATATATTATAATATATTTATAGGATATAAAAATTGACAGTGACTAGAGTTCCTTAATTCACTAGACAGTACCTTAGTTATTTAACCCTTTTCAAACCAGTGAGCACTTTTCAGGTGTTAAGAGTACACCTATATATCATATTTTAAAAATTATATAAAGATAATAATTCTAATTATATTTCAACAACTTTCAACTCATAAGTATTTTAGAATTAATATTTTGACATTTTGTAGCATTTATTTAACATTATTTGAAAAAGATAAATGAAGAAATGACAAACTTAAGTTTCTGCACAGCTTCGAAGAGCCTAGACTGAAAACAATGCACTTATTGATTTTTTAGGATGTTTTGCCCACCTCAAAGCATCAATTTATGTTTGGTAAGAAAGTATCAACCCAAAAAAACAATTCTCAAGGTATTGTTTTTCATGCTATTTTCTTTCTCTTTCTCTGATTTTATTAAGATAGCTTGTTGATCCCACTCTTTATGACCTCATAATATGTGATCAAGACAACTTCTAATGTAACTTGCTTTTAATATAGTTACAGACAAAGTTTAAATACCATTGAATGGCACAAATTATAAACTATTACCTCACTGCAGAATAAAGAAATTAGTGTAAGAAGTACTCTATGGTTTACTGGGAGAGAGAGAGCACCTAGCTCATACAGAACAGAATGGAATGTTTTGAGAAGTTTAGAAGGCTTAGGAACAAGCCATAAATCTGGGAATTTTATATTTTCTGTAGACATTCTTTCACTCCAGAAAATGTTTTTTGTGTTAAATTCTTTGTTTGAAAACTATGGGATTTTTCTTCTACAACAAGACATCAGGTAAGCCTTATTAAGTTTACAGAGAGCGTAGGCAATGGAAGAATATTCTGGTGACTCAAATCCTTATTTACTGAATAATATTGTTAAGTTTATTGTATTCAAACAATGCACATAAATAAAAGAACTGATAATTTATTGAGAAGAACATATATTTGTTAGATATAAATTGATTTCATCAAAATATTATTAGCAAAAATACTGCTATCTGATGCCATTGTGACAGATAAGGTTGTAAGTCATAGATAAAACTTCTTTTATTAGTGATCTTTTTTACAATTTATAGTTGGGAAGTGGTGACCACTGCAATTGGCAATATAAAATATCAAACTAAATGTGTTAAAAAAACAATCAAGTTGAAACTGAGTGCATATGTAAAATGGAAATTTCTTAACAACATAAAAATTTGAACTCTAAAGCAAGATGAAGTATTTTTAATGTTCCTTTAAAACAGTATCTGTCAAAACGATTTGGATAATTTAAACTTCACAACATAAAGAATGAAAGCAAAATGAAAATATATGAGCTTTTTAAAGCTGAAACTAAATGCTATTTAGTAAGATTGCCCTATGTTTCATGCAATTTAGTTAAATTTACACTGTTAGAAGGAAAAAAAACAAGGGGTATCAATGACACCTTCCCCCCAGGACAGAAGAAGTTAAAGTATTTTGGGCTTTAATTTGATAATGCCTCATAAAATCTAGCTGATTTAGTTGAGTTTATTATTTTCAATATGACAAATGTGTTCAAAATAAAAGTACTGATATTTTTATATGCAAAAACTGCCTAAAGATTATTGTTTATCAATACTGTTTCCTATTACTATTGTGACGACAGCGGAAGTCACGTGACGCTGCTGGTGCATTGGTGCTGGTGGCGTGTGCGAGGAGTTTCTCGAATGATCGTGAATTTCCTAGTTTGTTCGGGACACCCTCTTTTTTAGTATATAAGCCCGGCAAATAAAAGAAGAGATAGATAACTGAGTCAAGCGAACAGTAGGCACCGTAAGTAAAGTGTGTGAATCACTGCAATTTATAGCGTGTGTTATAAAGGTTGTTAAGTTTAAAGTGACTGTGGAAATTCTGTGTGTTACAAAAAGTTGTATCGAGAAAGAATAAACTAGTTTTAATAAAGAAGGGAATTATCAAACAAGCAGATATGTAACACTATCATATCAATTAATACACACATACAACAAACTCTGACTATAATTTTATAATATATATATATATTGATGCTTATTCTTGGGTAGATATTAAATTGGTCAATTATATGGCTAATTTTGGAAATAATATTAAGATGATGATTATGATTGGTACTAGAGAAAATATAGTTGAATCCAGAGAAGATTGAATACAATGAATGAGTGATAATTAGCTTGAAGTACGACAATTTTGAGCAGTGTTAAGTCATCATGCACTTGGAGAACCAGTTTGTGTACTGGAGTGATTTTTTTATGAAAGAAAATTAAGCACAAAGCTACACAATGGGCTATCTGTGCTCTGCCCACCACGGGTATCAAAAACCCGGATTCTAGTGTTGTAAGTCTGCAGACATACCACTGTGCCACTGTGGGGTGAAAGAAAATGTGATGTTGTAAAAAAAGAAAAAAAGAGAAGAAATTAACTATTTTTACTTACAACATTTTGAAACATTCCACTGAGTAACAAACAATGCTGCTAAAAGTTAATAAAACTGTGAAATCTACTGATGGAAATACTTAATTCAAAAGTAGAATTGTCGTGATTACTTGGTACAAGATTTTTCATATCCTCCTCAAAATAAAGATACAATCCATAAGAAATAATGCATAAAAGATCAACCAATCTAATGCCTGGCTTGAGAAACCTAAGATATTAATAATGACTTAAATTAGAAGTGTTTTAATCCAGGGGTTCACAGTTTGGGAGTAGGGTGTTTCCACATCACAGTTAGATATTAATTGATATCATCTACGCTGCCATTGGATATTGGTGATTCATATCAATGCCTGGTTTG